CCTCAAACTTCTAGACCTGACTTGTTGGGTTCTCGAAACATTGGGATTCACAATCGGTCTTTATTTGAATTACCCCAAAGATTCCTCAAGTGATTATGACCCGAGACCCCTGATCATGACCATATTTGGTCATAAGTCTTGATCATGGCCATAGTGATTAGAAATCTTGGTTAAGATTCATAATCATGACCATTATGACTGAGGGTCTTTTGACCATGACCGTTGTGATCGAGAAAGTTGTGACTGAGAGTATTTTGGCCTAAAACTTATGATCATGACCATAGTGACTAAGAAGGTTTTTGCCTAAGACTCATGATCATGACTATTGAGACTGGGAGTCATAGCCATAGTGACTGAGACTCTCAATCATGGCCGGTTATGGGCTCAAAATCTCATATCAGTCTTAATGGCCCAAAAAATTCCACTCTTCTTTATTCTCAGCCTTAAATCGGATCGCCATGATTAGAAATTAATCTCTCGCCCTGATGACCATGGGTCGACCCAAAGTTCAGACTTCATGATTCCTGACCACGTGGCATGATTGCTTCGAATTATATTTTAGGTGTTAACAAATAGTCTATTAACATGTTTTGAAATTCTGGAAATGAATTTTACTTAAAAAAAAAAAAAAAAAATCCCATTAGATCACTGGCTAGTTGCTCACTCTTAACCTGTTACACATCTTATATGAAGGTGACTGTTGTCACAGTTTGACACTAACCTTGTGACACATTGATGATTAATCGTATGTACTATCAGTTCTCTACTTTTAGAGACATGGTTTTTGGTGCAAGATTGTCATCAGTTGTGGCATCTGGTACCAAAATAACCAGCCACAGCCTGTGTTTCAATAAAAAAATAAAAAAGGCTATAGTGTAATTAATGAAACTAAACTTATAAGCTTACTCATATGAAATCAAATAGACAATAATTCAGTTGATACAAACACGTATCTCTAAGAGCAACTCCAATGCTCTCTCATTTGGACCTCTCAAATTCAAAATATGAGAGTTGGATAAAGAAGGGCCTATCTAATGGGCTCTTATTTGAGCTCTCAAAATTTGAGATTCTCAAATTTCTTCTTATATGTAGCAGCTGCCAAATTTTTTGGCAAGTCACTCATTTCCCAAAACGGTATCGTTTCTCACCGGTCATCACCCACTCGCATCTCTATCTGTATATTATATATATAATATATAATATATATATAAATTTCTCGAAAAAAAATTATATAAAAAAATTAATTCACAAATAGTGGTAAAAAAATTACAAATTTTTTTTTTTTTTTTTTTTTTTGTCCTTTTTTGACCAGATATTTTAGATTTGTACTTCTTTTTAATCAGGTTTAATTTTAGTTTCTTTCTATTGTTTACAATTTGACTTGGAATGTGCCTAATATTAATATTACTGATGCAAATATGAATGGTGAGAAAGGTAGTTGAAAAAGAATAGTGGTTGTGTTAAAAAATAGTATTTTGCGTGAAATGTACCATTAGAGTAGAATTGTTAAAATGTGCATTTTTGGCACTGTAATACGTGTCAAAATATAAATTTGGCATGCAAAAATAGGTTTTAGCATTGGAGATGCTCTAAATGAAAGGTAGATTTTAACTTCAGGAAAAACACGAGTATACGAGTTTGCTTAACTTTCTTCAAAAAAAAAAAAAACCTTAGTCATAGATGTAGTCACGTAAACATTACATTGTATACTCATTTTTATCCAATAAAATTATCCCATTATCCCTAAAATTAATTAATAAGATGCAAATTAGCTACTGTTAGCACGCTTCCAAGAAACCAAAAAGATAATTTGAAAGTGTCATTCCACAATGAACATTATCATTCAGGTTGACTTTTTCATATAATGTTTATATTGTAGCCATTATTAATGAGTATTACAGATTTGACTTTTTCATATAATGTTTATGTTGTCTTAGTCATTTTGCACTTAAATTTCCTACTATTCTTACGTACCATGGCAAGAATATGCAAGTTAATTTGGTGTTAGCATGGTCTACAAGAAATGATTCAAATTTAATCACTAATTTGGTGAATTGGTGGTTAACCAAATGAATCCTAACACAACCATAGCTTATCCAAATCACCTAATACTCATCTTCTAATTCACCAAAGGCATAAGCATATATAACTATGTACATTATTTCTTTTAAATGTGTGCAATGAAATGATTAATTATTACAAATTTAGAAAGTGATCGTAGGGATTTTTTTTTTTTTTTTAATAATTAATTAATAAGTTATTTTTGTTAAATTTTAATATATATATTTTTATAAATATTTTATAATAATTAAACATCAAAACATAAAAAATATATATAATTTACAAGATTTAAATTAATAAGGTTGTCTAGGATATTTATTTATAAAAAGTGCCCTCCCTCAATTCTCTCTTTCCCTTATAATATTCTATATATGATTTTTTTCCCCTCTTAAATCGTTTCGTTAATCCCTATATTCTATATCTATATTTAGTTTAATCCCAAATCTCTCACTCTCTATATATATATATACTCATAAACATTAACTTATATACATGAACGTTATACTAAATATATATTATGATATAGAATATTACAATGTGTCCCTCTTGAACAAATTTCCTGGCCCTGGCCCTGTGTGGACTATAATTGTTACAAGGAGCAAGCTGTCACCAAGGAAACGCTGTATCCAAGTGCAAGCTGTGGGCTCACTAGCAAAAAGAAATGGATAGTTATCATTTCAATCACATTCACGAATGACACTGTATATATATGTATTTATATATATATATATGTTCAAAAGGAATTCATTTCAAGTTCGTTATTTTTGTTCACTTCACTTATTTCTTGTGTGTAGCATATGGAATCTTCTTTAATTTGCAAATTAAACCGTATTTATATATATATATATGTTCAAAAGGAATTCATTTCAAGTTCCTTATTTTTGTTCACTTCACTTATTTCTTGTGTGTAGCATATGGAATCTTCTTTAATTTGCAAATTAAACCCTAATAAGTTTTTTTTGGTCCATATAGATTTTTTTAGCCGAAAATAGACCATAATCCAACTCATGAATATTAAGAAATGTACATTTATTTTTCATGTATCTGTAACATTACTCAACGTGAATTACATGGTCTCCTTGTGGAATGATTTTCACAATACTCTTACCTCATCCCTTAAATTAGGCATTAAAAATGATTATAGAGGTCATGCCCCACTCAATGCTCGTACAAATTAAAACCACCTCCTTTAAAACATGATGAAGACCATACCTTCCCTTAGAAGGTAAATCGTACCAAACATTTGAATTTCACTTATACATTGGCGTCACTAGAATCAGGAGCGGGGTCAGAATCTCAATATAGAGACACATTGTAAAAAAACAAAAAATAAATAAATAATAATAATAATAACAAGAAGAAGAAGAATTTTAAATAGTAGAAAGAAGAAAAAAAAAGGAAAGAATGACCTAGAAAAAGAAAAAAATTAGAGGGTGATTTAAGTATTTTAATTTTACTTTTTTAAAGAAATTAAAAAAAAATTTAGAAACTAAAATAATTTTAGGGTGGAATTATATATTGGTAAAGAAATTAGAAAAACTAACCATGTATTTCTTCTGTCCCAAAATAAGTGTCATGCTTTATAAATCATGTCACATTTTTCAAAGCAGGATACTTATTTTGGGACAGAGGTAGTACAATATAGTGGGCGAGCGAGCCAGGGGCATGTGCCCCTTCTGGGCATACACGCTTCACCCCATACTAAGATTAAACTTCCAATATTATCCAACGAATGCCCTTTATTTGTAATAATTTAGGAAACTTTTCTATTACCATTAAATATAATTGAAATGAAAAGACAAAAGGGTACAATGTACTTTATTGAAGGAAATAAAATCTAAGAAATCATGGTTCCTGAAAAATAAAAGAGTGTCGTGAGTCTCGTGCCAGTTAATGATAGGAAAATCATAATTGATCGGAAATATAAAATTTAAGAAAATCGTAGTTAATCGGAAATCGTAAGTTCATATCCTCAACAAAAAAAATTAAATAGTTGTGACTCAAAGCTATCTTTATACCGCAAAACACTTCTCTTAGGACCTCAGAACATAATTAATCATAGTTGGTCAAAAAATTAGAGTAGATCAAAAATATAAAATTTACGAAAAATAGTCATAGATGTGAGGGAAAGAAAATCATAAAATTGTGGCAGACTAACTAATAATAAAAAGAGCTTTGGGCATGACTATCTGATTGTTTTGTTGGGAGGATGAACAAGTGGCTTTCCATGGATCAATTGTGATTTTCATAAATTTTATATTTTCGATCAATATGATTTTTTCGATCAACTGTGATCATGATCAACCGTATTTTGTGACGCAAAACTCTTTTATAATGAGGAACCATGATTTTTTTTTTTATTTTTTAAGATTTTATTTCTTTCAATAAAGTTGTACCATTTTGTCTTTTCACTTTAATTATATTTAATGATACTTGAAAGATTTTAAGGGTTTCCTAAATTATTATAAATAAAGGGCATTCGTTGGATTAAATTCAAAGACTACAATTAAAAGTGAACAGACTATTCCCTGCTCACCAGAGAGCAATTGAACGCTACTGATTCTCTATAAATTACAATATTATATATACATATTATTGGGTATAATGGTAAAAATAATTAAATCATTTTTGTGCTTCTCTCGTAACCAGTATAGTACGTTATGAGCATATTCTCACCTCTCATATTCAATCCAATAAAAAAAAAAAAAGGAATACACAATCTCTTCGTTAGGGGATTTTCCTAATGAACATAGTAAGGACTTTTCTATCATGATGATGTCCCTTAAATAAATATATAAATAACTATATTTAACCTTGAAGGATATGCATGTCATTGAGGGAAAACCTTGAACCACTTGGGTCAACATAACCAGCTCATTGACAACCAAAAGTCCGCGTGAAACAGTGTACATAGAGTAACTCTCTTCACGTTATATACAAAAGCAGTGTATGATATACTATATCTATAGACGATAATAACTATAACTATAACAAACAGGCCATTAAGCTAGTGAAGAGAATATATGCACATCAATGGCTGAGCTTGAGAATTCTGATCAGATCATGCCCAAAGTCATAGCCTTCCTCTCTTCTCTTCTTCAGAGAGTGTCGGAGTCAAACGATCTCAACCGTCCGTTAGAGACACAGACGATCTCTGTGTTTCATGGGTTGACTAGACCTACCATCTCCATACAAAGCTACCTTGAGAGGATCTTCAAGTACGCACATTGTAGCCCGTCGTGTTTCATCGTCGCCTACGTTTACCTGGACCGGTTTGTTCAGAGGCAGCCATTGTTGCCGATCAATTCCTTCAATGTGCATCGGTTGCTTATCACCAGTGTCTTAATTTCTGCAAAGTTCATGGATGATATGTGAGTTTCTCCTCATTCCATCTCTATTTAATTTGTTTTCAAGTTTAAATACTAATTCTTAATATAATTTGCCTAAATTTTGGTTAATGGAATTCCAGACCATGTTTTTTGGTAGATCAGTTAGAAAAAAAAAATAATAATAATAGCCGAAATTTCGAGATTTTATCTTTAATTGGCGTGACATAGTTTTATTTTCCATATAAAATTTTACAGAAATTAATTTTTTCAAATAATAATTGGACCCTTAATTCTGTTTTTTTTAAAGAGTTTTTATACTACTAAGAAGCCATAATCACGTGGTGGGTGAAATAAATTAAACTTTTGACGTTAATTTATAAAAGTGGAATTTCTCTCAAATTCAACTTCACATTTTAACTGAGTTTTTAACATTGCATTGAATAAGATTCCTGTGCTACACGAGAAGTACCTTTTTTTTGTATTTCGTTTATCTAAAATGTTGCATTCCTAAGATTTTTAGGAGAGATAAAAGAGTGTAAAAGTAATCAAAATAAATATATATATATTTATTTTTGTATAGAGTAGAAACGGTAAAATTACTTTCAACTTTTGTCTAATATATTAATAGTGTCTAATAAGGTTCTTGAAGTTGAATGTGGTGACATCGAGTGGAGTATTTGGCCCCAGTAGTTGTTAGATGATCTTCTCTCGGTTTGTATTTCTCTCGGTTTGAATGTTATGTTAGTTGGTATTAAAAAAACAAATAAATAAATAAATTAAGAACTCCTTAATCAGTAATACATAAAAATATGATGTCTCTTCTCTTCTCCTATGCTAGGAAGGAAGGAAGGAAGGGAAATGCAGAGAAAATAAAAAGAATGATCGAACTTTATTTATTTAGTAGAAATAATATAAAGAAAGAAAGGATGACACATCCTTCTTTCTTTAAAAATTTTCATTGGCCAAAAAATAGGCCAAAAAATGAGGGAAGGCAAGTGGATTATTATAGAAGTTTTAAATTAAATATTATTTTAAATTACAATATTATAAATATTATTCTAAATTATAAGTTTTAAATTACAGTACTATTCTCTATAAATTTTAATATTATAAATATAATTAGATTTAATGGTAAAAATAATTAAAACTATTTTCTTTTTTCTTAATTAATATAGTAAATTATGAACTTATTTTTTTCCCTTCTATTCAACCGAACGAAAAAAAAAGGAAATACACCATCTCTTCCCATGCATCCCTTTTTTTCTCCATTGCATCTTATTTTCTATCTAAGAAAGCATTAGAGTGTTTATGTTCATAATTCTCACTTACTCCATAAATGACTTCTATAATTAAGGACTGTTTTATCAGTATTATTTAATTTCCCAAAAAAACCATATATAGTGCATGCAGTGGTGTCTGAGAGGAAAGTAGAAGACTAAGATGCGCAGTATAGACTATAGAACAGGGTGCATGATAGCAAGACCGTGTTGAAGCAACCACCGCCAAAAACAGGAGACAAACATGTGAAAAACTCCGTGAATTACCAGGCAAAAGCCACCTAAGATGGTGGGCTGCTCTTTTCTGTCGATGAACACCTTACCTGTTATTTCTATTATAAATAAATAAAAACACGAGGAATGAATTTAAAAGCACGACAGTACTGATATGTCTTTATGAGTCATATCAGCCCAATTAATCTTGAACCGTCTATATATATATATATATATATGTATACACGCACTTTACAAGGATTTTGACTCCTTTTATGTTAGAACTTAGAAGAGCTCACACTGCCTAGTTGGTCGTGGTGAATGTCAATGATTATGGTCAGACCGTCAGACAGCTTGCTTTTCTGCACATTTCACGGCGGCAATTTGACTCTCAATCCTCTTCTAAGCAACAGAGTAACTCTTTTAAGAGAATCTTACTTACAAGAGTTATCAACCCATATTTAATCACTAGATTAAAAGGTAGTATTAAATAATTTATATAATTTTTTTTAATGAATTTTTTAAAAAATGTCTTAGAACTCGCGACTCTTACCATGACTCATGAGTGAGCATTTTTTTTTTTTAGTTGGTACTCACACACATGTTTCTTTGGAGACTTGAACCTTGACCTCTTTTTTTGAGAAATAAGAGATTGCTAGGCCATTAGTATTAATACTCTCCTCAAGATGAGACTAAAGTAAAAGCTAATACTTTCACGAACAATGGATATAATATTTGTTAGAATGTTTTATGATGTTTATTTGGATGATTGTTGCATAATTGGATAACAAAAATAAATCAAGTAGTGAATGTTAGGAAGGCAATAGTAAATTTATAATAAAAAAAGAAAGATCAATTTCTCTTGATCGATTAACACATTAGGTGAAGAGAGATTTTATTCTTATATAATAAATCACACTATTTATTGAAGTCGCATAAAAAAAACTGATCAACATCTCATTCATAATACTTTTCTGTCTGCGTCACATAATTGGTATTGATTCAATTTATTAGATTTAAAATAACCTAGGAACCAATTCGGTATTTTTCATAAATATACCAATTATTATATATATATATATATTTTGTGAAAATGAGCTGCGAACTACTTTCTAATCCTCCAATGAGGATTGCGTTAAAAAAAAATGTAACAAGCTTCTCTCTTCTTCTTCTTTTTTTTTTTTTTTTTGTTCAGATTTAATTATTATTATTTTTTATTTTTGCAGGTACTACAACAATGCATACTATGCAAAAGTAGGAGGAATCAGCACAAAAGAGATGAACCTCCTTGAAGTGGAGTTGTTATTTGGACTGGGGTTCCACTTAAATGTGACACCAACCACCTTCCACACCTACTCTTCATTTCTCCAAACACACATCTTTCTTCGATCTCCTCCTCTGCAATTACTAGTATCATCATCATCATCATCTGCTGTGGATATAATAGGGAGAACACAAAAACTCCATTGTTGCTTCAATGAAGAAGACGACTCCCATCAAAAACAATTGGCTGTCTAGGACTAGGAGGACATTATCAACATTCACCCATAACCTTTGTCTCCTAAACCTCCAATACATGCTTAACCCTCATTACCATATTATATTATGTGTGTATTTACTTCCTTTCTCACTTTTGTCAGTGAATTATCGAAAAAAAAAAAAAATTTGGGGGACCATTTTTACCCTCTGTGTTTTCAATTGTCAGATTAATTTTTCTTGGTTATACAATCTAGGAAATGGTTAAACTTTGGATTGCTTAACAAGATTATTATTAGTCTTGGATTTGAGTTCTCCAATTTTGTATAAAGGTTAAAAATGGGAAAAGACAATTAACCCACTTATGTTATTGCAAAATATAAAGCTAATGTTTGATTTTTATTTTTTCCGATGGAAGGTAAATTCAATGTTTGATTTGTGTTGCACAAAATAACTATTTTCGTGCTCAAACTTGTGTTTCATTACAAGCTTAGATGGAGGCATTTTGTAAGGCTCATACTATAGATCTTCATTTTTTATTCTCATTCCTTTATAAATATATATATTGACATGCAGAACCCATTTGATGAAAAATTTACTTACTAAGGCCATCTGGACCAGTCTCTATGGATTTTAGTTCTCTAAAAATGCCACATCAGCTTTTTCAAGAGCTACATCAGCAATTCTAAAAGCCACGTCAGTAGTTCACTCCATCAGGTTCTCTGAATTTTCGTTCTAAAATAATAATAATAATAATAAAAATTAAAATTAAAATTAAAATTAATTAATTAATTAATTAAAATTTTTTTTATCTTTTCCTAAGCGGCTATATTTTTTACGGCTATATTTTTAACGGCTATATTTTCTCAACGACAATATTTTTCAATCGAACAATATTTTTATAAATTATTAAAAAAATTACGATTGATATTAGAACTTAAAACAATACATTATCCATTATGGATTAAAAAAAAACAAATTAAACAAAATAATTAAAATAACTTAAACAATATAATATCCTAAATTGGAATAAGAAAATAAATAGACCAAGGATTACAAAATCTTATGGGAACTTTGGGGCGGATCGTGAATTTAAAGATGCCAATATCTAATTTTGTCGTGCAATAATCCAAGCTTTCCCCGCTTCTGTTGGTATCGAATTTGGATCTGTTAACATGAGCTCCTTCTCTTCAAGTCTCTATTTCTCTTTAATCTCTAGCTGCCTTGTCTTCTCTTTCTCCATTTTTCTTACCTCTCGTGTCACTTGGGCATCCTGCATTTTCTCTTGACGACTCTCAAAATGGGTGGTGATATTATTAAATTTCGAAAAGAATGAAGTTTGCAATTCATTCACTAAATTAATTTTTGCTCGACGCTGCTTCACCACTTTTCTTCTTGTTGGTCTTTGTAGTTGATATTCTTTCATACCAGGTGAATCATTTTCCCCTACGTGTGGTGATTCTTCAGTTGAAGCTCCATCTGTCGTGGCTGCATGACTTGACGGAGTAGATGGTAATGAGTGCCCAACAAACTCATTAATGTCAAAGTCAAATCCACTCCTCTTCTTCGGCTTTTTTTTTTCTTTTTTACTTTTTCTACTTGTTTGGTACAATGTGAATTCCATTTATTGTTATGCTTTAAGATCTCTCAGCAACTTACTAACTTAAATTCACCACCTATTTGGCTACAAAACAGGTATTTAGCTGCTATCATCTACAAGAAAAAAATAACAAAAAATTAAAAGCCAATTATTTAAAATATTTACGAGTTATATTTAAACAATAAATAAATCACCATATCATCACTGCTGAAGCCGCTGAGACGATTCATTTCCATGGTAGTCATGCAGCCGAAAAATTTGCTAATTTTTTGTTGGATCACCGACCAATGATTCATCAAACTTCCATCATTTCGCTCAGTTGGAACACCAATATGTTATTTATATTCTTCCAGAATTCGCTTCCATAACTTTTTCTTACTTTGGTCTGCACTCGTAATCGCATCAGAGGTAATGGACAACCACGCCCAACATAAAGCTTCATCTTCAACCTTGGTCCAATTATTATGTCTAGTAGCCGGTTGTTTTGACGGGAGTTTTGAGTTACTTGATTGTGGAACACTAGTACCACAATATTGATGAGAAGTTTGTGATAGTTGATAAGAAGGTTGTGATAGTTGATAAGAAGGAAATTGAGAATCTCCTCCATAAACATTGATATTTTTTTCGTGAAATGGTAAAAACTCATCGTTTGATGGGTTGAATTGGGTGTTGTAATCAAATGGATGTCGAGGATTCATGGAATCGAAATGATTTTGAAAATAATAGTTAATATTGAGAAAATAGAACAAGAAATAAGTTGAATGGTAAATAATAGAGATGTGATGAGTGATGGTAGGAGTTAGAGTATTTATAAAGATTTTAAAAATTTTAATTTTAATTTTTTTTTTGAATAAAGTTAAAAAATTTGAATTTTTAAATATATATTTTTTAAAATTATAACCGTTAAGGCACTGTTTGGTACTGTAGAAATTGTGCCTTAATGGCCAAATACACTATTTGGCCTACACATTTAAAATTTAAAGCAAATTTAAAGGGGAAAAACAAAAAAAAAGGTAAAATTTGATTTTTTAAACTTTTTTTCAAAATTATAGCCGTTAAGGCACTGTTTGGTACTGTAGAAACAGTGCCTTAACGGCTAAATACACTATTTGGCCTGCACATTTAAAATTTAAAGCAAAAAAAAAAAAATGTTTTTTAATATATTTTTGGCCTAAATTTTTTTTTTTTTTTTTTAGACAAAGAATGCCTAAACAATATATTTTTTATTTTATGAATTTTATTTTATTTTTTTCCCAAAAAAAAAAAAGCTCTAAATAACCTATTTTTAGATTTTTTTTTTTTTTTTTAAAATCTGCCAAACCTGTTTGGCGCAGCATTGTTACAGTAGCAAACGGTGCCATTTTGACGCAGAAAAAACAAAAAAAAAAAAAAAAAAATTCCACAATTGCGGGCCATCTCACTGAATACCGCGAGCAGCCCGCGAGCAAAATTAGGCTCCATCAATATTGCCATACCGCTACACGCCCAAAGGCCCTTCACGCTAGCGAAAAATGGGCTTTCGCTATACTGCTGCAGATGGCCTAATAAGTTATAACCCAACACCTAAATTTTTATATCAAAATCAATTTACGATTATAGAAAGTGTAAAAACTTTATAATAAAATTAATTTTCGATGATAGAAAGGCTCACAGTCTCTCTCTATTCTTTGAATAGATTTTAATAAAAACTACTCCTATTACCTATCTCACTTCAAGATGTCCAGATACGACTTTCGAGATCATTTTAATATGAACACCATGGTGTTGGAATGCATGCATTATTATTATTATTTTTATATATAATTTATAGAATAACATAAATTGTCTGATTCGTCCATTGGGAACTCGTATTATTGTTGAAAAATTCAACTGATTCGAGAGCTCAAATCTTTTTCTCGTTACAAAGAAAATATTCCATGCCGATTGCCGAAAGGAGAAAATAAAATATTCAAGCCCGAAAGGAGAAAAGAAAATAAGCAAAATTCTAAAAGAAAATATTCCATGCTGAAAGGGAAAAAGAAAATAAATATTCGATGCCGAAAGGAGAAAAGAAAATAAGCAAAATTCTAAAAGAAAATATTCCATTCTGAATGGGGAAAAGAAAATAAATATTCCATGCCAAAGGAGAAAACAAAATAAGCAAAATTTTAAGCGTCACATATGCAGTTTAACTAAAACTCTTCCCAGCCAATTGGGATGGCAATGGGGCTGGTTTAACTAAACCCTACTCCACCCGTTAGAAAATCTGTCATACTAATTTTGCTCTTACTATAGGACGAATTTGTAATTGGTATATCATTTCCTTTTCTACTCCGGCAAGCAAAGTACAGACTCCACCTTAGGCGGATTATACCACTTTTATTATTTAGTGAAAAAAAACTTAGCCCAATGTACTCCAATTGGACTGATAAATAAATTGGTATACCATCTCTACCCTACTTGCAGTAAAATAATAACGATTTTAAAATATTAAATATATGTATAATTTTTAAAGGCACATAATACATACATAATCCGGATGGGTTTATTACTAAATCTACCTCCACTCCAAACTCGCTTCGGATTTTTAATTATTTTACCATACTCGTCACAAACTCATTTATAGAGCTATCAATCTTGCCCCCTTAAGGGCGGGGTGAGGCGAAAACCCGTCGGGTCTTCCCTAAGTGTCACTTTATCAAGAAAACTATTTTTAAAAATCTATAAAAATTAAAAAATAATTATCTGAAAACAGTCTTTTTTTCCATAAAGGTTTTTGTATGTACAGTTTTCTAATTTTAAATTGTTGTTAGAAAACTGAACCAAGCTTTACTAGAAAATGCACACACAGTCCTTTTAACCATAAACCAAAAAAGTCATTTCCTTCGAGTTTCTCCCATCTCCAGAAGAAAGATGTGGACTTTGATCATTAAAACAAAATTAGTTCCTACCAGTTTAGAAAGTTAAGTGCTACAAAGAGATAATGCACTCCCCAACCAACGGAAATTCTGATAGATATATAGAGTGTCAAGTACAAATTCAGTCCCAAATTGAACCTTAACCAATGGTGGAAGGAGCGAGAAGAGCAAGACAAAATATACGCTCATCATGATATATAATACAATCAAAAGCAACTCCATATTTAGAACCTATAACAGCAAAGTATAAGAGCTGACACACATCAGTAACACAAAGAAGTCACAAACACAACCCTATTACGGACAATATTTCAGACAAAAACTACATAGCCAGCTGGATGATAGTAAAGAACCTAACCATAGCATCGGATTGGATCATTGCAGCCTTTGTCAGTGGATTGCTTAAAACCAAATCGTCCCCCTTTCGCAAGGTACTGCTGGTGGTATTCCTCAGCTCTGTAGAACTTCTTGGCAGGCAGGATCTCTGTAACAATCTTCCTGTTTAACAGCTTCTGTTGTCGCTCCATAGACTCCAGTGCAGCCTTCTCCTGTTCAGGGGTATAGAAGTATATTCCAGACCTGTATTGCGTTCCCACATCATTCCCCTGCCCAAAGGATCACCGAACTATTAGCATCCACAGAAAAAGTGGTTAAATGGATAGACAAATGTTCTTCTCTCTCCGTAGACTTCAAAATTTTAAGGAATATTAGAAAGTAAAAATAAATAAAGGATTTGAAAGTGACATAAATCTTTGGGTTTAGCTAATTAGTAACACAATGAAAGCAGCCACACATGCAGGGCTGGGGATGGGATATAAAATCTGCCAATTAATAGGAGAAACACTTCAGATCAATTTAGTAAATCATTTGATATCCTGAACTGATTCAGATCTTTTCGAAAACTACATGATGGATCTTTTATGATAAAATAAAATAAAATAAATCAAGGATTAAAGGAAAGGGTGAATTATTGCTTTATTGAATGAGAGAGTGATAATTAATATTTATGGTTTATATTGAGAGAATAAGTTAACTATTGCAGACACAAGGTTGGATATACCATTAGGAATTGGTATACCAACGATTACATTTAAAAATTAAATAAAAATGCACAAGCATCTTTCGAAGAAAATTAATTTATCGGTCAAGATATAAGCGATATACAACAAAAACACAGAGAAAAGAGAAGATCTACCGCATAAGTAGATCGCTATAACATGAGGAACACCGCCATAACACACACATAAAGGATTAAGGAACTAGCCATTATAAGAGAGTAACATTTCCTCAAAAGCATGCCTGTATGACGCTTCTCTTTTAGTCAAGAAGTTGCTCACGATTAAAAGTTCCCATCATAATAGAAATATTCCATGCCACACAAAAACAGAAAAGCTACTGTTTTAGATTCATTAAGCAGTTGAATCCATAAAGTTTGTGTGTGTGTGTGTGTGTGTGTGTGTGTGTGTGTGTGTGTGTGTGTATATTATAATAGAATCACAGCCTTTCGTAGGTCCTAGAAGGGAACTACTACTGCTACTACATGATCGGGACAAATTCCTACTATACAAAATAATCCAAGATCCCAAAAGGTTGAACTTAACATAATTAACGAGGTAACAATTGGCAACATAATTAAAGACGGGCTTCCAATATTTTTCATTGCTTCTTCTCACAAAAGGAATATAAATCCAACAATCAGCCCCCACCCCAAGGTCTCAAAGAAACAGAAATGCATGATTGGTATGCCAACAGAAGAAGCCACAAAATGAAAGAATAAAAAAATATTGATGAATGTTTACAAAGCATGTTACCTATATCCAATTAATAGACCTGAAAAGTCCAAATTTAAGAACCAAATGGGAGGTTTGAAAGTACAGAGAAATCCGTGTATGAAGCTTTAAATAACTGAAATTAGTTAACTACAAAACTGCTTCATCTTAAGATAAAAATCAACCAAAATACATTAAAGTTCAATTTTTTTCAAACCAATAATTATAAAAAATATGCAACCGAATTTCAATCGTCTAGCTAAGAAATCAATAGATAAACAAAATAATTAAGTAACAACCCCAATCACCCACATATGTATAAGCTTCCTACCTTTAGGAGAATAAAGAAGCATAGCCAAAAACTGATTCATCCATAGACAAATTCAACCAAATTCCATCAAAATTCAGTAACAAATGCCCAAAATGACAACTCAAAGTCCCAAACCCTAATAAATCCAATACTTATCAATAAAATGCAATCAAATTTCAATCATCTAGCTAAAAGTTCAACGGATAAATCTAAAAGTTAGTAACCCATAACCCGGAGAAAAAGACACATTGGTGAAATAATTAACACCAAAACCCGTCAAAATTCAGCAAAAAAGCGCACATAAAATGACAATCCATAAACTCAACCATGAAAACCCCAATAATTCCACAGACTCACCTGACGATTAGGCGTAGTAGGGTCATGCCTGGCCCAAAACGCGTCGAGCAAAGACTCGTAACCGCACTCCTTGGGATCGTACTGAACCCGGACGACTTCGGAGTGGTTCGTCTTCCCCGAACACACGTCGTTGTAGCTTGGATTGTGATTATCGCCCTGAGTGTACCCAACCTCCGTCTTGGACACTCCGGGCACTCTCTGGAAAGCCAATTCGACGCCCCAAAAGCACCCCGCCCCGAACTGGGCGAACTCTTGTCCCGGTGCCGGGACGTCGTCGTCCGGACCCTGCGCAATCGAGGATGATGATGACTGGTCCACGGTAGTCTCGCCGGGGTTTCGAGTACCGAACCCTAGCTTTCCCAACCAGTTCATCTTTGGGGGCGAGTAGACAGAGAAAGGTCTGGAGGTTTGGGGGAAAGATGTGGGTTTGATGGGAAATCTAGAGAGAGAAAGTGGGGGTTTAGAGAGAGAAATGGATGAGCGAGAGGAGACGATGAGGAGCAGAGGCGAGGAGGAGGCGGCTAAATTGGCAGAGATGGGCATTGTGACGTGTTTGGTTTTAGTTATCTTGGGGAGAAGGAAAGTGGAGTTTCAAAGCCGGGAAAGATTCATTTTTTAGTTATCTACAGTCCAATGTATTTATTTATTAAATATAAAAATATATTTCAATTTTTAATGTATTTTGAGTGGCGATAATTTAATACAGTAGGCAGTGTGCAAGTATCTTTGTAAAAAATTTCACTTATAAATGTGTACAATTTAGCTTAGGGACAATTTTATAAAAAATAAGTGGTGGTGGAATCTATTTTGTTAAAAAGTGAGTTACTCTTGTTTATATAATTAATCTATATCTATATTATTTATTATTAAAAGTTGAAGAATTTCAATATAATATTGTTTTTCAGAACATATATTAATTTATTTTGTAATTAGATTTCATTTTCAATTTTTACTATTATAGATATATAATATTAAAAAATTAAACTACTGAAAAAATCTAATTAGAAAAAGATTCAATAAAAGGAATATTTAGTAATAATTATAAATAAACCAAATTTTATTGTATTTCTAAATTTTTTTTTTTTTTTTTGATGGTAAAGCAAACACACACTTTTATTACCCAAGCTGGGGCTCCAACCTCTTCCCTCTTCTTTGAAGATGGGGAGGTTATACCATTGGGCCAAAGGCCCTTTGATTGTATTTCTAAATCTTCCCAAAATATTAATTTTACAATAATATATTTCTTGTTCGTCCTTTTGATTTTGCTTCTAGGGTTTTTATATATATTAATTTATTTTTGAATTAGATTTCTTTAGATTTCCTTTTCAATTTTAACTACTATAAATATATAATATTAAAAAAGTAAACTACCAATTTTATTGTATTTGTAAGCCTTTCGTAAATAGCAATTTTACAATAATATATTTCTTCTTCGTCCTTTTGATTTTGTTTGTAGGGTTTTTTATTTTAATTTTTAATGTTTCTTAATTTCAATTTCTTCTCTCTGTTTTGCTTTTAGGGTCTTTTCTTTTATAAAATAAGTAATGGTAACTTCGTGATTCTTGTGAATGAAGGAAGAATATTTTTGTATTTTTGTATTTTTTTTTTAGAGATAATATAAAGCGTCTCTCCAAACCGATTGAGTAAAATTTGAACTCTTATTCAGAACATATCTACTAAGGAATTATTTATAAACAGATTGAGTAAAATTTGGACTCTTATTCAGAACATATCTACTAAAGAATTATTTGCATTCAAATAGAGTCCATCTTTATTGCAACGGATTGAGTAAAATTTGTACTCTTATTCAAAACATATCTACTAAAAAATTATTTGCAATCAAATAGAGTCCTTCTTTATCCCTTATAACCATCAGCCATTCAGACCAAGTAAATCTAACTCCTAAACAATTATTTACATTTTAAACGAATAGATGCATGTAACCTTTTTTTTTTTTTTTTGCACATAGATGTATGTAACTCTGATGCTTATGAATTATAAGGCCAAGTGGCTTTATAAAAACCACTTCTAGGAGGTAATACAGACTTTGGTTACGGAACAACTTCTAATTGGAGGTTTTTGACATAATTTAAAGGAAAACATGGCATCCAGAATATATATAATTATTCAAATTGTCCATGATTTTGGTATGGGGCCCTCTTCCCCACTAACACAGCTATAACATCATTATTATCTTGATCCGAAAATTTCTTTAAGCATATTTGTGAATAAAGAAAAAAACTAAGAAAAAATTGAGAATCTTCAACAAGTTCACACCTCTTTAGATCGAGCTTGATGTGACATCATGCTATGAATCTAACCGTTGAGAATCTTGTAAACTAGTTTTTTCATTTTCAAAACAATTCGACATATCAAGTGCTTTAGTTTTATTTTTTATCAGGATTTAATTTTTTAACCTTTCATTTTAGGAGGTGTAGAAACATTAATTACAACTCTTGTATGTGAGTTTATGTTGAGATTAATGACCATTATTTTTTTTATTTCAATACTTTTCTTGTGTTTGGAATGTTGGAATTTGACGGAATTTGATTTTAAATAAAAATATTGTTATTTGAAATTGACGAAGTTCGAAAGGGACCAAAATATAATATTGTTGGAGACCTTTATTCTTAAATCACTAAGCAAGACAGTGACACAGTTTAGAAGAAAATTGATCACCATCCATGGGATTGAAATGTCTAAATATCGACATTTAAATATTACACATCACACATGTTACCTTTTGAAAAGAATAAAAAAAGAGAAAGAAAAAATGAAAGATTATGCAGGTTTGTCAATGTCAAATCCCAAAAAAAAAAAAAAAAAAAAAAGTCGACAAACAATTTTGTTTAAAATGGTCAAATACAAGGGATTTGGAATTTAGTATATTAAATTTCAAATTATTCCAAACTAAAGAATGTGAATTTATTCCAAAAATCGTTTTTATTTTACCCTTTTGAAATCTAGTAAGGGTTTTGATTCCAAACACGGTGTTTGTGTTCAGAGGGTTGAGTTGATTTTGTTTTTCTTAGTTATGAGGATGACACATTCAGTTAGGTATTCTACAACTTCTTGTGGTTGTGGTGATGAGTGAGCAAAGAATGTTAGGTCATCTTCTAAAAATAAACAATAAAGTGAACTCTTGAAATGCATTTTATTTTTATACCATAATAGTGTTTCACTCCACTTCATGACCTAGAAATGGAAAACCAAAACTGGTTCAGTTAAATTGCCTTTTAATTGGCCTAATTTTAGGTCCAGTGTCCAGAAGATAAGTCCACCGTAGAGTTCAATTCATTGTTGTACCATTTTAGTTGAAGAATTGACCAGTATATTTAAATTGATAATGTAATAATTTTAAATCCAAAATTAAATAAATGTGTTGAATAAATGAATAGTAGTACTGTTAATTTATGGTAGTATTCACGGGTATACGGGTACGTATCGGTATTAGTAACTTATAAATCCGTTACTATGTATAAGCCGATACGACGAACACTAATTTGTATACCACAGTACCAAATTAAGAAATTTTCTTTTTTAATAAATAATGAAATTTATAAGCCAAACAATTCACCATCTTAAACCTGGAGATTTCATAATCTACTACTGGACTATGCAACAAACCAAATGACTACTACACCACAATACAAGACACAAGTTACGACTAGAAACACAAAAACTCAATTTTACACAATCGAAAGCACAGAAGCCATAAAACCAAGAAATGCTAAAGCAAGAGAATGTAGCACTCCACCATGACCAAGCATAGCTGAAGTAGCACCACTAGGAATTACAGCTGAAGGGTTGTTGTTCTTGGAAGAAGGTTGAGGAAGAGAAGCCCCCGACTCGGCCTGCGGTGCAGCGGCAGGTGATGCCGCCCCCTGAGCTTGCTGTACATGCACATGAAGCTTCATTCCGGAAAGGCAATGTAACTTGTCGCCGCAGACGAAGTATTGATCGCCGGGCTTCGACAAAGGAAATGTTGTGTTCCCATTACTACTCGATTGTAGTACATTGGTCGTGTTGCACCCCTCGTAGTTCGGTTTTGTTACCTCGTTCACGCTGTGAGACGATGAATATTGAAACACTGCAACCCATACATATGAACCAAATACATTAAACATGTTGAATTTAATGTATTTTGTTTTTATTAAATGTATATATATATTGAAGGAAAGTAATTTACCAAAACCATAAAAGTTTACAAAATGACTATCAGGGAGTTAAGTGCAATTTGTTGAAAATAAACTTGATTTTAGTATTTAGTATTTTCAAGTGTTTTTGTATCTATGATGCATTTGTTAATTTAGCATGTTAGTGGGTAGTAAATTGTCTTAGTGGGAGTTAAGGTTATGTAAAATAAAGAATCATGAGAGTTAAGCCTAACAAATACTATGTTAGTGGGAATTATGCATATTGAAGATTATATTAGTGGGAGATAGGAGAGTTATGAACATTTAAATGTAATGGTTACACATACACATGTGAGGCCTATATATTCATATACTCTAGTCAAATGAATTAATCAAGTGAAATAAAAAGCATTTTCCTCCATTTCTATTCTCTTCCAAATAATATAGTGTTGTGTGTGTAACTAGGCCACTATTTTCAACAAAGTGGTATCAGAGCCAGATTTCATCTTCAAAGCCAGATTTCATGTTCAGAGTCTAGACGATCCTGAAGGCCAGACGAAGTTGATCCTAGAAGGTTCAACATTTGAGAAAAACATGTTTCTCCTTGATGATGATGAAGGGGAGAAAATGTATTTTCTTAGTGAAAAGATGATGTTCTCTAATTACAAGAGAATGAGAATCATCATGACTTCATACTTCAAAGCATGCGATTTGTGGGATGTTGTTGGAGAAGAGCCAAAGAATGGCATGTCCAACAAGCTTCATGAAAAGAAAGAAGATAAGGCATTGGTAGTGTTGCAAAAGGCAATACATCAAGAAATTTGGGAGTATTATGGAGAGTCCAAAACTCCAAGTTGTATTTGGAAGATGCTCGAGACCATCGTTTCCAATCATAGAGGTGAATCATTACCCATGAAGTATTGGGTACAATGCTTTGAGATTGATGAGTTTACGAAAGATGATTATGAAAGTCTTGAAGACAAAGTTGTGGAGAATGAAGAGGTGTATCGTGCAAAAGAAGTTGAAGATTTTGGAGATTCAAAAGTTGAAGGAGAATTTGAAATGGTGAATAAGGAAGAGGTAAGAAAAGGTGTTAAAGAAGAGATTGAAAAAGTGAAGGAGGATGAAGTGAAAATAGAAGATTTAGAAGAAGGAAGTGCTAAAGAAGAGGCAAAAGTTCAAGTTGGTGAATTAACATCTTCAGGTATGGTTACAAATTCCACCTTGAAAGAAGTTATATTTGACTTATTTGATGAAATTATTATTTCTTCATATTCATCAAATAATGCTTATTTTGTGGAGAATGATGAACTTCTCTTACAGAAAGTTGTTCCAAAGAAGTATGAGATTGAAGCCCAGGATGATAAGAAATTCTCATATTATTTTTTAAAAAATAGTTTGGAGAATTTTGTAATTGATACAGGTTGGGTGAATATGGAATTATTTTTTGACTCTAAAGAAGAAGTATATGTGAAGTTGAAGATTTATAAAAAATTTAAGAAGAAAAAAGATCGATGGTGTGCTTGTATAAAAAGGATGATATATGATTATGTGAAGACATCAAACAAGCATTTGAAGAAGTTTCACAAGCCCTACACATCAATGGAAATGGCCAAGAAGATTGAAGCTATTGAAGGAGGTGGAATTGAAGATCAACTATCGAACTTTTGATTAAGCCCCCAAGATTAATAAGAAGGTTTTTCAAGTTACAAAATCAAGTTTAAAGGGGGTGTTGAAAATAAACTTGATTTTAGTATTTAGTATTTTCAAGTATTTTTGTATCCATGATGCATTTGTTAATTTAGCATGTTAGTGGGTAGTAAATTGTCTTAGTGGGAGTTAAGGTTATGTAAAATAAAGAGTCATGAGAGTTAAGCCTAACAAATACTATGTTAGTGGGAATTATGCATATTGAAGATTATATTAGTGGGAGATAGGAGAGTTATGAACATTTAAAAGTAATGGTTACACATACATATGTGAGGCCTATATATTCATGTACTCTAGTCAAATGAATTAATTAAGTGAAATAAAAAGTATTTTCCTCCATTTCTATTCTCTTCCAAATAGTATAGTGTTGTGTGTGTAACTAGGCCACTATTTTCAACACAATTAACTCTAATTGGAATAAAAAGAAACATTAGTTCACATCTCAATTTGAACTAGTTATTCTTTGATTTCAATTTCAAGACGTTATTCTTTAATTTTATATGGTTTTAAAATGTAGTGTGAATATAGTACATGAAACAGATTAAAGTACTTACAAAGAACATCACCAACGACGAATTTCTTGCCGGTGGCCCATGTATCAAGATCAGTGCTTATGTCCCAGCCGGAGTTATCACCTACGGTGTACATTGTTTGTGCTGTGCATGTCAATGCAAAACCGAGGATGACAAGAACATGAACCAGGATCAGCAGCTTTGCCATTTAAGATGAGATGGCATGAATGAATTACAGAGAGGTGTGTGTGTTTGTATCTTAATTTTATGATATATATATTTGAAGGTGACTTATGATTAGATGACCTAACTTTATAATAAAAAAACAATTTTTTTTGTTCAACTGTATCTCAGAGTACATTATACGATCATATTTTTGTAATTCAAAGAAAGGTAGGGTTATTGTGGGCAAAAACTTGCGTGTGTGTATGTGTGTGTTTGTATATATATTTAAAGGAATTGCTGCACTCTAGGGGCCATCTGAGCACCGTCTAGTCCAATCAAACCGCCCATTAGGTGGACTGCAGTTAGTCAAGACAATAGAAATAAACTTTGGTCAACTGAACCAGAGGTTCTGATCGATTTATTTACATTGTTTGATTCTGAATATGTAAAACGGGTTGATGATCCATCGTTGATTATGGGATTATCTCCATGGAAGAAAAAAATGATTTTTATAAAAATTGGTAGAGGGTGGTTGAAGGCAAACTTTGTTTGGCAGGCAGGTAAACGCCTCCATGTCGAAATCATGACTTTAGCAATTGGCATGTCCTTGTTGTAGTAGGCTTTGCCTAATATGTACAATTTTATTTTATTTTATTTTTTTTCTATTCAACTCAAAATAAATACGTAATACATAATAACTATGAAAAATTATACCCAAACTCGAGGTTTATATATTTGCTCATAACATCTTCTTAATGGGGCTTGAATTCTCAATTTTTCCGAAGAGATTATATCATCCAAACTAGAAGTTTGATGGTTATAATCTTTATTCTTAAATTGTTAAGTGATTCCGACATAGTGTAGGAAAAATCCTTTAACATCAATAGCATTGAAATGTCTAAATATCGTAAAATATTTTTTTTAGAAAATATATATTTTTTTCAGTTAAAATAGAAGTTAAGTCCATTGGGTGGGGTGTATAAATAGCTTATTAAAAATTGATAAGTAAGTTATTATTGTTAAGTTTTAATATATTTTTTTCTTCGTAAATGTTTTACGCCTACCAGACATTAGAAAACACAAAAAAAACTCAAAACAAACCGAGTCTAAAAAGTTATGCACATTTGTAATGTTAAATAAAAATAAGAAGAAAAGAAAAGAAAACTAATTGCCTTGTTGGGAAAAAGAAAAAGAAAATATTCAGGAAAAAAAAAAAAGAAAAAAGAAAAAGAAAATCAAAATAATGTTGACATACAATTGTAAAATTTCCAGCATTATTATATCAGTAAAGTCAATATGCCGTAACTATTTGGTAGCCTATTAGTGGATGTCTTTTATGCGTACCATGTTAAAAATAAATAAATAAGGGTATCTTCCAATCATTAAAAAATTACCAATAAAGTTCATATTCTTAATTTTCTGGACGTTAATTTGGCTTAAAATCTAAGGATCATTGTGGAGGGAAAAATCCCTCTTCAATGAAGGTCATTCACGTGTCTATAATTGAAGCTTTGTTTTTATTTTCTTAATGGATTGCAAGAATCCAACCCTGGTCAAGACCGGATAAAGACGTCAACATCTTAGGGTCGCTAATGTTGAGCTTCGGGCCCATTGGCTGAGTCATCTGGACCAAGCTACATTCAGCCCAACTTCATTTAAAGACGGACCAGTCCTGCTAGACAAAAGATTCAACAAATAAGACAAGTTCTGTGCAAGGAAAGTTTTGTAACGACCCAAATCCTCATGGATCCGGATCATTAAATGGGTCCTTACCCGACTCGAAATCATCCAAGGGTAATACGGTCCTTTGACGTTAAATTCAATTATCATGGTCCAAAAAGGGCAAGATGGTAATTTGCTACCATTCAAGTAGTTTAAGATTCAAAGGGTATAATAGTCATTTACTTGTATCACGTAATAAATAAAAAATAAGGTCCAGGACAATATAGTCTTTTTGGTGGTTAGAATATATTTATTGTACTTTGATGGGGTCATAAGGTAAATACTCACAACATTAATTGGGTGCCAAAGTGTAATTAGGAAAATTAAAAGAAGAATATTTATGGAACAAGAACAGGTCGACGTATATTCATTATATGTTAGCTGGTTTGGGTTATGAACAGTGGAAAAACCCACTGCCGAGATACCGGTCGACGTGTGGGAAGCTACACATCGACTAGTTTGGAACGTGGACAGTGAAAAGTTTACTGTCAGGATACCGGTCGACGTGTGGGGAGCTACACGTCGACTGGTTCACGCAACTCGATCGACGTATGGGATTTTACGTCGACTGGTTTGGGTCATCCTCCCTCACTGTCACCGAGATACAAAAGCCAATTACCCACACCACTACATTCACGTACATACGTAAATACATTTCAACATCCACAATAACAACAACTACAACGTTAAACCAAAATACACTAATGCTCCGTTCGGTAGGAAAGAAAATAATTGAATAGAAGGGAGAGAAGAAAGGATAACTGAGACATCTCCAAGGAAGAGATTAAGCGTTTCCCTCTTTTTGTTCAGTTGGATGGAAAAGAATGGAAAAAATTGACAATTTAATTTGATTGGTAGGACAAAAGAAAAGATAAAATTTTAAGTTATTTTTGCCATTAAACCCATCCCTTACTTTATTTATGGGATTTATAAAATATTTATAAAGGGTGACGTAGTAATTTAAAACTTCTATAATAGGCTTACTTGTTTCTCTCATATCTTCCGCCCATATTTGGGCGGATGAAAATTTATGAAGGAGTAACTCATCCTTCCTATTATTATTTCTTTCCTTGTATCATCTCTATTGAATGAAGGAAATTTGTTCATTCCTTCCTATTTTCCTTCCACCCCTCTTTTTTCCTTCCTACCGAACGGAGCATAAATGATTAAATGATGGTAAAACTTACTTACATTACCCCACTGGCCATGTACATGCTAAAATCCAAATATTTTACATGTTGCAAAAGTAATACATCTTAAATCAATATCTTTACAAAATAAGTTCAAGCTCTACAAAAATACATCCAAAATGCTTCCTAAATGCTCTCAAGCATGAGGTGGATTATCATCCGCCAACTCTTTGCCGTGACCTGGAAAATTTTTAAATATGATGGGGTGAGCAATTTGCTCAGTAAGTGGCGCCTAAGACGCACCTCTTGAGTCCCCGTGAATCCAAAACAAAGAATAAAACCATGAAAATCGGGGTCATACAATGTCGGGAAATTACAATATGGTTTCCAATCTCAACATAAATAATATGATGCAATGGGGATGCAATGCATGCTGATGTCGCTCCCCATTTTTCACATTTAAAATCATCACTTTCAAACTATTAATGTAACCCCCTTTGGTACCCCCTCAGCGCCGAGAGAAGGATTGGCTACTGTCATTGACCGTTGGTACCTCCGTAACGTCATTTGGGGCCAGATAGCTCAACCATACTAGAGCAATCTCCCTAGTTCCCTCTAGGTTATATTAACCTACCGGCCCTTTGGTGACTCCGCGGCGACCGGGTTTTCATAAAATACTTTAATTAAAGTTTCTTTCCCAAAATTTCCCTTTTTCATTTCAAATCAAATTTCCCCTTTATTTCATTCCCAATGTTTATGCAAAATTCATCATGCTATATCAATAATCACCATTCCACAATTTATTCGACTTAAACCATATAACATACTTTACTAGAAATTTCAAGGAAATTACAACATGCTTTCATATAGCAATTGTAACAAGTTGACAACACAATAATTATAGGAAATATACATTTAAGCATGCATCTCATATAACCCAACTTGTACACATGTTCATAAACTTCAACATGTCAAATAAATCATTTTAGAGGTAATCAACACAAATAAGCATATTATGCAACAATTAACAAAGAAAATTCACAAAGGAACAAGAAATTACGTGGATTAGGAACCCCTACATCTTAGAATGCAAAAACCCACAAAATGGGTCAAGATTTTCGGACTCCCTAGGTTGCACAAAAACTGAAATTACTGGTACACACGCGTAGAGCTCCCCGTGGTCTCCGTTTTGTTGCAAACGGCACTCAAAAATTCCGAGTATTGAGAGAGGAATCTTGATTTGAAGTTTGGAACTCAAAACAAAAAGAAAAAGAGAGAAGAAGAGAGAGCTACGGGAGTGAGAGGGATTTGAGGCCAAAAATGATCTCTAGACCATTTCATGAGAGTAAGTGGCGGGTCCCGCCATTTTTCTTTTCTTTTCTCATTTTTCTTTTGTTTTAATTCTATACTACATAAATACATGTAACACACCATCATACAAATGATACATAGCTCACATAATTCAAAATGTAGGAAACGCAAATGGACTCAACTAAAATCCCGTACGAAAAACGTGAAAAGACAAAAATGCCCTCATGGCGATGAAATTTTTGGAAAATTAAAAAATGCTGAAAATCAGAAACATCACAATCTACCCTCCTTAAAGAGATTTCGTCCTCGAAATCTACCATCCTTATGAAGAAGGCCAATAGCCACACACTCTCCAAGAACACCTTACAAATTCTGAGACTATGAACCCAACGACATTGTTGCCTTTGACACCAGACGTCGTCAGACAAGTACACACCACTGTCACCAAAACCCAAAATGGTACTCATTTCTCACCTTATCATAACATAAGACCGACCAGACTATACACCCGACTCATAATGGACATCGATCCACTCAACACTACCACGAAAGGCTCTCAGCCAAAAGAAAAACGATCACCAATTAAGACTACATCCAATCACAACCCATCCTCTAAAGAACACATACACAAAACCACAAATAAGGAATCCAGTCCATCTTTCAATCAATTTCAACTCTAATATACACATCCCTGACAAATCAAATACTTGCTATCAAATACTTAACTACATCATCACCTAACAGTACAAACGACCACCAACCGCACCATTCGGCAATCATTACATTCAACAAAATAATAAACGTATTATCTAGTGCCCATGACACAAATTTTCAAAACAAGATCTTCAATAATCAATGATCGTATCACAAACCTTTTATCGAACACTTGGT